GCACTATATTATTAAGTATTCTGGTCCATTATGTCTCTCACTCTGGTGTTTCTCAAGCCAAAGCATAACTTAAGAAAGAGGAAAGAGAATGTTTACCCTTGAGCGGTCTCTAGGTGTGTCCTAAAGCTGCTGCCCAGAGTGAGCCAAGTTTTCTTTGAAGTCTCCTATTTGTATTAAAAATGCATACAGATCTTGAATTTCATTTTTTAATACATCTGCATTTATTTTAATATTTAAAATTGTTTAAATTATTTGCTATCAACTCTAACTGAAACTTCAGAAATCTGCCAGCTTCCTCTGTGGCTTAGGGAAAGCAAACCCACTGGCCTAAGTCAGACAAAAGGCGTGTTCTGCATGTGGGTGCTCCTGAATAGACTCCCACTTGTCCTTCACAACCGGGCTCATATGCTGCCCCCACTTCAGCCTTTTTGCAAGGCCAGCAATCCCAGAGTGCTATCTGGCTGGGAGAACCCTGAATTATAGCTTAATTCCATGCTCAGAGCTTCTTCGGTAATACAGGGTCTTCTTTTCTTTGGCCACAACCTTCATGGAATCAGTCTCTGTTACATAGCATATCTTCATATTCCTTATAGCTTGCAAAATTTGTAATGAATAAATCATTGAAGATGATCAGTCTCTTTATTGTGCTAATCTTTTTATTTGTCCAAAGGAATCAGCAAAAACCCAAATAACAAAAGCTTAGTTCTTAATTCTAAATCTGGCTTCAAGTAGTTACATTGGTACAGTGATCCCTTGGAAAGCACACATGTAGTTTGACTGTGCATCTACATCCTATTCTCAGTGATATCCCTGTCCTGTTGATTGACATGGGCCCACTATTAATTTCTTCTCCTGTCTCTGGAAAATAACCATAATTGCATTTGCTAGCTACTACTCAGGAATGTTGTCAGAGTTGATGAAACAATGTTTTTAAAAGACCTCTTTGGAAAGACAGGGCACATAAATCACAGTCCCTCACTAGGATATTTATTTTAGAGTTTATTTATTTAGTAGTTCAGTAGAATATAGATATTTCTTCCCAGATAAGTCATATTGAGTCAGTGCATGCCTTACTACTCAGGTCCAAACAGAATTTTGTATCTCTAACCTTCTGATGAACTTGGAAATTAAACTTGGTACATTCTTTCTACTCTTGGAAATTTTCTAGTTGTTTATCTGTGTGAACATATGTCTGGGCCATTTTTAGTCAAATACTGGTGCACGTGGGAGATGATATTTAAAATACACTGCATCATTGTGAACACACTGATATTTCTCTCCCCCCATAGTATCTTTAAGAATTGAGTTCTGATGTTTAAAATTTTTCACAGCTTTCATAAAACATGCATAATACTTCCATCTCAGAGTCTCAGGTCTGTTGTTCCAAACGAACCACACTTTGGATTGCATAATAGAACATTTAAAAACAAAATAATATGAATTTTAAATTCTGGTAACTGTCTAAAAATGTACTATTCGATTGCCACTAGCCACCAGTGTTAAAGTAAAAATTCAGTCATTCAGTTGTCCTAGCTACAGTTCAAGTGTTCAGTAGGTCATGTGACTGGTGGCTACTGTTATTGCACAGTCTTAGAACACACCCATCATCACATACAAGGTCTGTTTGTGTCTTTTGTCCCTAAGACTAGTGGAAATCCCGTTTGGGGAACATTTTTTAGCTTTCTGCTCTTCTTTTTCCTCTACCCTTCCCTTTAGATGCTTTTCTCCTTTGTTTTATAATAAATAATTGAATTGTTTAGTCTTTTAAAAAACCCCAAGGCATTGATTTGAACACAGAATATGAGGAAAATGACATGTGGAATTCCCATCTGGAGGTTGGGACAGTGGCAGATCCAGCCATTTCTGAGAAATTGCCTGGGTTTGGAGTTACTCCCAGAATTTTGATTTAGCAGCTCCTAAGCTTACAGCAAGTCTGAAAGGAACACAAATCTGTTTTGTATATACAAATAAATCCTTGTATGCTGCATGCCATTCTCAGCCTGCCAGTTTCATCTGGTTGCTCCAGAAAATATAATTCAATAGCACGTTAGTTAACCTGTATGCAGGGAGTGGGGCACCCTGATTATTGGAATGTTCTGGTTGAGTGATTAACCTGATTTTTGCAGAAAAGCTGCTGAGGCAAGGATTTTCTGTTAGGAGTCTGTGCCACCATGGCTTGCTCTTGCAGATGATCACAGTCGTGTTGCTTCATTCCCCCAGCACTCAGCAATACATCTCCATGCTAAAACCTTCAAACACGCAATTGCTATACTTGCAAGAAGCCTCATAAGAATAGATCAACAGTGGTGTCTCTGATCATCCTAGAAAAGAGAGTAAAGAGAGAAGCAAATTAAAATCTTCATGCATGTTTTAAGCAATTGGGAAACCTTCAGGACTTCCTGATAAGAGAGCAAGTATAACTTGAAAATATAAAAACTAAATATATATATATAAAATATTAAAAATATATATAAAATATAAAATATAATATATATAAAATAACATATAAAATATATTAAAAAGTATAACTTGAAAATATTTCTTTATATATTTAATTTTCTTTAGTGATAAACACAAAGTGCTTACTAGATGGCAGGCAATGCCCCAAGGACTTTACAAAGATTAATTCATTTTATTCTCATAGCCAACTTCTTATTAGATATGACATTATCATGTTCACTGTAAAGATCAGGAAACTGAGACACAGAGAGTTTAAATTCTCATCCAAGTCCCTGAGTTTGGGACTTGAACCCAGGAAACTTGACGGTGAGTATCCATGAGACCACTGTAGATCATTCGTTTTTCTCTTTCCTTACACTGTTGGTTTTCTTACAATAAAAGCCAGAACATCTGAAGGTAAAAAGTGAAATCAAAACATTAATACTTCTCTCCAAAATCCATTATAAAATTTCTGCACCAAAGGGAAAATTTATTAAGAGCCCAGAATAAGTCATAAAACACAATACCTGCTAGCAGTAGACTGGTTTTTCCAAAAGAAAATAATATAATGTTTGATTTCTATGTGGGATGGTCAAAGCATTGTTTTTATCTTCTGTGTTGATTGTTGTATTCAAAAGGATTTTTTTTTTTTTTACTCAGTGTTTTGAATGAGCCAATGTAACAAAAGAGATGACTACAGTGTCATTGTGCCTGTATAATGGAAGTGTAAAATTCTTCTAGAAGTATGCAATGTGTGCTAGTGAGAGAAAACCAACCATAAAGAGCTGCTAAAGGGAGGGCTGGTGTGGCCCCTGCTATCCCTGGCATGAAGGATCCTGAAATTGTCACCTTCTTAAAGGCAGTCAATCTAGGCCAGTGCTTGCGGTCCTCCCCGGGCCTGGTGTGTAAAGATGAGCTGAGCCCATCACATCCCACTTCCCATGGGTTTGAATCATGATAAACTGACATTGGGGATCGAGTGGGGCAAGAGATGACTGTGAGAGTGAGGTCACACAGGCCAGGAAGAGACTAAGAAAGAAGCAGAGGCCTCAGGGTTTAGGACGGGGGCCCAGCTGACCCCCCTGGATGCTCAGTGGTACAGGAGGTGTGGCATCAACGGTGACTAACTAGGTTTGTGAAAGGGAACTAGGCTAAGTTAGGTGGCTTCTTCTTCCTCCACCTTTCCCTTCCCATATGTTAATCGGATGAGCAGAGCTGAAGGTCCAGGGGAGGCAGAAAAGAGCCTCTGACATTCCCAGCTAAACCAAAAGGGAAAATTGGAACCAACCGAGGCTGTTCTTAATTTTTTTTGTTGTTAAATAATCTTTACCTGTAATGAAGGTGAGTATAATGCATCCCGTTTTAATAGATTTGACTCCAAAATAAGTGCTTATTTTTCCTTTCCATTTGAGCGAATTATTTACTGAGCAATGAGCCAAACAGTGGGAGGTATTGAGGCTACAAAGAATTGACTAAGGCATCATTGTGACCCTGGATAAGCTCCCAGATTAATGGGGGAAATGGCTAGACACAAGCCACTTGTCATGAGAAGTATGTTAGAAGACACAGATGCTACCAGGAGGGTCCAAGGTGCTGAAACAGCACAGAGGAGAGAATGGTCTGTTTGGACCATTGGATCAGGTCRACTTCACCAGGGACTGTATAATTTTGAGATCCAGTTTCAGAGAGGAATAGACTGAATTCACACAAGGGGAAGGAAATTACAAATTTGAGTTGTGAAACTCATACACCAAAAGACTTTTATGAGTACTCTAATGGTGAGAAGGCGACATAATGAATGGCATGTATGAGAGAGAGAAGGGGAGATGGAGGGAGGGAGGCTGGGGAAAGGACAAGGGGTGGAGAGGAGTGGGAAAAGATGAGGAGAATCTAGGTGGCTTTAGAGATTAAGAGAATTCTTATTTTCAAATGACCACGTATGTGGCAGATGTTGGATTCAAGAATTCCTACCTCTCACTGCATTGTATTTCATACTTGTGTTTTGGCCAAGTTTATTTTAACATTTAAGTAAAAACCAATAAAGAAATACTGGAAAAATCCATTTTTATTTTTCCAATGTGTTTTTCCACAGTCTGGAAAGAATTTTAAACTTTGAGATAGGATAAAACAGGGAACATGAAAAACCAAATATATAAAATTTTTGGTTTGGAGAATACTAAATAAATCCCATTCAGAAGCCAAAACAATGGAGTACTGTTAATTCCTTTGATCAGGAAAAAAGTAGTATATAATAGAAAATATTTAAAATATGAGAAATGAATAACTAATCAAAATAAAAGAAAAATGTTCTTCCCTAGACAGATTTCATTGAGTTTTGTTATGGTTATTGTTAGTAATAGGATGGAAATTATAGATTCACACTGCATTTATGACTTCTAAATTTACATTTTCTCATATTTTCATATCTTCTAATTTAATAGTGTGTTAATATGCCTCATACAAATTTAGCAAAAGCACCATTGCTGTTTGTTTTTTTTWAAATGTTTTTAATGGCCTGAAGTAACATTTTTTCTAATTGTACTTTTTGACTTTTCTGGCAGATGACGTTTGACCCAGAAATCTTCTTCAACGTTTTACTGCCACCAATTATATTTCATGCAGGATATAGTCTAAAGAAGGTAAATATATAATGATCTTTCCTTTTTTTTTCTTTTTTTTTTAGCCTTAAATAGAGAATTTTGCTTGTACTAAAACAAACAAAAAACAATTATTTTATGGACCTACTTGTTTGGCAAGAATATCACCATCTTAGATTGCATAATAAAGATTCAAACCTGACATACTCAGAGTTGTTCTGAACCTACTATATCCAATACCCAGGCCTTAGTCATGTGCACCTATTGATCCCTTGAAATGTGGCTAGTCAGAATTGAGATGCTCTTTAAGTGTAAAATGTCCAGCAGATTTCAAAGACTTGGTATTTAGGAAAAGAATGTAAACTATCTCAATAATATTTTATAGTGATTTCATGTAGAAATGTATGCATTTTATATATATTGAGTGATATGAAACGTTATCAAACTTCATTTAAAAAGTATTTTTAAATTTATTTTAACGTGGCTGGAAATATTTAAATGACACATGGCTTGCATTATGTTTCTGTTGGGCAGTGTTATTCTAGGTGATTGTAATGAAAGATCTCATGCAGTAATATTGGGTTTTTCCATCAGGGTATAAACGTGGGAAATGCTATTGACATTCACAGAGAGAAAGCCTGGTTTTGCAGTTTCTCTTTACTTAACACCACTGAGGCTCAGCCTGACTGCACATTTCATGGGTTAGTCATTCACATACTCAGTGCCACAGGGTGAGGCCCTGGCCTTGAGATGCAGAAGTAATGTGCTGCTTCTCAGCTACCTAGTCCGGACCTGGGAAATTCCTGGGACTGTCCTCCCTTTGGCCTCTCTTCTCTGGTGGCCGGCAGCTTCTCCATTACAGATCTGATGGCTATGTGTGTGCTCCAGGCTCCCTCTTGCTGTCAGTGCCGGCTACTCAGATCCCACTAAAGCCCTGAAAGGGAGTTTTCCTAAGCAAGCCTTCGAGAAGATCTAGCAGGCTGAATGGATTGAGGTCATCCACCCTCATGGGTAGCCCCAATACCAGGCATCCTTTCATGCTTGATTCTTTAAATTGTTGAGGTTTTTTAAAATTGAGTTTCCTCTCATTCAGAAAACATACAAGTTAAAGAAGCCAGAGCTCACGAAAATCCAAGGGCAACTTAAATCTCTTAAGATAGTTTTTTAAATAAGGAGTTGCATGCACAATAAAACTTGAAGTGTCCTCCATGAAATGTCCCAGAGTCCTGCATGGTCATTCCCCCAGTCCCTTCCCTCCTTCTCAGTCCAGTGAGCTCTGGAAGTTGCCTCATCCCTACCCTCTTGTCTTCCAGATGGCTTTTTTCTCTGTTTCTTTCCTTTTTCCTTTGTCCCTTGCAATGAAATCACTTAAGTCTCCATGGGCACAGTAAGGCCAGGAATGAAGCTCCAAAAACAAAATTTATCTAAACCATAAGGAAGGTCAGGGCTGGGAAAAGCATACATTTGTTTTTATTTCCTGTTCCACTGTAAATGCAGATGTACTCCATGAAGGTTTTATTTTTGTTGTTTTGTTTTTTTTCTCCCCAGAGACATTTTTTTCAAAACTTGGGATCTATTTTAACATATGCCTTCTTGGGAACGGCCATCTCCTGTATYGTCATAGGGTAAGTGACAGGAGGAGTTGGAGATCCAGGAGGCTGGGGGTCAGGGACCTGTGGGAGGGATCTCACACTTCCTGGATTCAGGCTGGTTGGGCCAGTTGTCTCTTTTTTCAGTGCATCACATCTGGGTTTGTTTGGTTTGGTTTTGTAGTTTGTTTGGTTTTGTTGCCGTGCTGGGGATGGAACCCAGCACCCAATGCATGCTAGGCAAATGCCACACCAGTGGGTGATAGCCCCAGCCCTAGCCCCAGTAAATAACATCTTTGTCCATTTTTCCAATTCAGTTCCAAAGTTTACATGTCTTCCAACAAACATGCAGCATCAAATCAAAGCAGACTGCAGTTGGATTGCTGGATTTTCTCTGTGATTTTTGGACTTCTGATTTGGGGAATGAGAATCCTTTGGCTTGAGTTATATGGAACATATTGTGTTATTTTTCAGCTCAACATTGTAGACAGGCTCACCCCGCAGATAGACTCATTTTTTTCCCATCATCTTTGCAGGACCCTACTTGTATTTGACAGGAGTACAATAGTCACTATATGTCAAGGGGGTTCTTTTTAAAGGAAAGTTTACAAGAGAGCCGCATGAAGCCGATAAGTCCAAATACCAGCAGAATTATATAATATTGGGATGGCTTTTGGGTCGATACACTGTAGAATGAGGACTTTTTTTCTCCATGTATTTTATTGGTTGTGCCACTGAGCTCTAAGTCAAACTGTAGAGACTCTGACTCGCAGCGCATCATAAAGCAAAACGTGGTCCAAAATGATGAAGCCCATCCAATTCATTTATAATCCTATAGAATACATTAAAGCTCCACTATAGAAAAAAATGTCCAAGTGCTTGCTATGACCATGATTATGTAGATGTCTTAAATTGTCTGTTACAGCCAACTCTACCCAGGGCTTTTACTGCAGACATCTGCTAAAGCTATAACACAAGAAACTGATGCGGAGCACACCCCATCCATGCCTCTAGCCTTCTCTCATGCAGTGTTTAGTGCCTGCCAGTGGAAAGCTGGGGATGTGTCAGGAAGTGTCTTCCTGCAAACCTGAACGCAAGGAGATTTGTTGTTGTTGTTGTTGTTGAATGCTTTGCTAAATTTTTGGGTTCAGACTAGAGCAACTCAATTTACACTATATGAAAATATTAAACACTATCAAGGCAGAGAAGATGCTAAAGATGTTAGCACCTGAAGGTGGAGGCTTGCAAGAATGTAGAGGGGGAGGCTTATCAAATCTAGACACCTAAGTGGTCTTTAAATTATGTGTTGAGAGATGCCGTGTACCTGATTCTTCACAAAGCATGTTCTGGAGGGGCTTTTCTGATCTGTGAGTATGTCATAGCTTCCTATTCAAATTTCAAAACTGGCAAGGACCTTAAAGGCTTATGTAATCAAAGCCCCTCACTCTGAAGCTGATTCATCTTGAAAGACTAATTAATTAGGTAATTCTTAGATCTCTGAGAGACAGGGCTATGACCAAGACAAGACTCAGAACTTCAGTTCCTCACACAACAGGTCTTGCCCCTGCCCCCTCCTCTTCTAGAAGTTTCATCCCGGTACATTGAACCTGTATACTGACAGAGGTTTATGAGATATGTGGCCTCTCAACAAATGTCAGGTGCTTTATAGCACAAATTGATTTTAGCAGTTTTATCAAACAGGGATTTGAAATTCATAACAGATGCAAATTTTAAACTATTAGAAAATAGTAAATTATGGAATAATCATTTTTCATGATTATCTTGTTTCCTTTGTACAACTGATTTTAAATATATTTACATGAACTTATTTTTATTATATACTTTCACTATTATGAAATAGATAATTGTTTTTTTCTTGGGAAATTTTATCCATTCATTCACTTATCTACCTAACCATTAACTTATTTTTGCAATACTGGGGATTCAATCCAGGGCCTCATGTATGCTAGGCAAGTGCTCTACCACCAAGCTACATCCTCATCCCTTTTTTTTTTTTTTTAAAGACAAAGTCTCACTATGTTGCCCAGGCTGGCCTTAAATTTGTGATCCTTCTGCCTTAGCCTCCAGAGTAGCTGAGATTGCAGGTGTGCACCATAAGCCTAGATTTTCATGGGTGTCTTAATATCTCTAAGGAAAAAAGAAACAATACATGTGTGTGTGTGTGTGTGTGTGTGTGTGTGTGTGTGTTGTATACAACTGCTTACTTATAAATATGTCAATTTAAGGGATCTAGTAATTTTCATGTCTTAGAATTCAGAACTCTTAATTGAATTTAAGTGTTCATCAACAATTTTAAATGGAGTGTGCTTTGAATAAAAGTGTTGTCTTGAGAAAACTCAGAAGCATGTCTTTGTTTGTGCTGGGTATAATAAATAAGAAGAGCAAAAATGTATAGGGTGCCTTTCAAGTGTGGGTCATGAGATTAAAGTGTATAGGGGAGAGAACATAAGCATTTCAGAATCTTATCTAGAAAGAGAAGGGACATCATTGAGGAGATTGAGCTTCAACAAGGACAGGCTGATACTGCAGGAAGGCCACTTTGCTGGTCATGTGGAAGAGGACTTTTAGTGTTGGGCAGAGATGTCAGAGAGGGGACCATTTTTTTTTTATTAGTTGCTCAAAACATTACAATAATATTGACATATCATATATCACACATTTAATTCAAATGGGGATTAATTCTTATTTTTTCCATGTGTACAAATTGCAGGATCACATTGGTTATACAGCCACGTTTATATATACTGCCATACTAATGTCTGTTGTATTCTGCTGCTGATGGGATTAATTGAGTGGTAATTGAAGGCAGGTGGGGTGTGGCTGGAAGAGGTGGGCATTGGGGGTGTGGCTATGGGGTATACTTTTGTATATGGTGAGTGGAGTCTCTCTCTCTGCTTCCTGATCACCTTGTGAGCTGCTTCCCTCTGCCACACTCTTCTGCCATGATGTTCAGCTTCACCTTGAGCCCCAAGGAATGGAGCCTGCTGTCTGTGGATTGAGACCTCTGAAACCATGAGCCCCAAGTAAACTTTTCCTTCTCTGCAGTGGTTCTGATTGAGTCCTTTCATTACAGTGGTGAGAAAGCTAACTAAAACATATACCATGCCCTTTTTAAAAGTAATTTACAGGGATTATCTCATTTCATTCTCAAAATAATCCTATTAAAAAGATATTACTTATTACCATCATTTAACAGATGAGACAACTGAGTTTCAGAGAGAATAACACAGTGGGCAGTAATAGAGTGGGGATTAGTAATTAAATAGTCTGGCTCCTGAGTGAAATTCTTAATGCCAAAATAACTGTGCTTTGCTTTTGTTTGTTGAACATTCCCATTAAAAAGTAAAATTATGTTCATTAGTCAATATTCAGTAACATGCCACGTGCTTCTTCCTTAGCCCAGCAGGAGTTGTCAGAGATGTGGGAGATTTTTATCCAGGAATTTCACATTTCTAGGGGTGGGAAGAGAAGCCTGTTTTTATGCAGATGTCCTCTTACTTGCATGAATTGGGCAGGAGGAAGGGAGGGCTCAGGATGTTCCTGAGACTGAACCCTGGGAGAGTGACTTCTTGGAGGAAGTGATCCTGGTGAGTCACTTAGTGGAGAAGGAGAAGGCTGTCTAATTTTGCATGCCAAGCACCTTGGTTCTGATGGGTGTGGAGAGTCTTGTGCAAGGTTTCAGGTCAGAGGGTGGGTTTCACATCGCTTCGTGGTCTCAGAGGATGTGGGTTCTGAATGTTGCAGTCAGCCAAAAGAAGGCCAGGAAGTCCCAGATCAGAAGCACGTAAGAATGGGAAGGCCATGAAGGTGAGGACTGCATCTGATTAGACCACAGGCTGGCTCTAGAGTAGGGCTCAGGTGCTTTATAGGAGTTAAAATTCTTTCTTTCTTTCTTTCTTTCTTTCTTTCTTTCTTTCTTTCTTTCTTTCTTTCTTTCTTTCTTTCTTTCTTTCTTTCTTTCTTTCTTTCTTTCTTTTTTTTTAATTAATTGAATTGATTGAACCCAGGGACACTTAACTACTGAGCCACATCCCCAGCCCTTTTTAGTTTTCATTTTGAGACAGGGCCTTGCTAAGTTGATTAGGGCCTCCAGGAGTTGCTGAGATTGGCTTTGAACTTGTGATCCTTCTGACTCAGCCTCCCAAGCTGTTTAGATTACAGGCATGTACCACTGGGCCTGGCTAGGAATTAAAATTCTTGGATTCATTTGAATGGGTTCTTAATTAGGTTTATTAACTCAATATCATTTCTGAAATTAGATATAAACTATCTTTTACATTACATGGGAAAGTTTAATAATATCCCTTTGGCAATAATATTTTAAAAAACCCACTTTTTTTGTTTTGTTTTTTAAGGATGAACTGTTCTTAAAAAAATTCAACCACCTTATAGTATCATCCCACATTTTATTGCTTAAGGAATATTATCTTAACTATATCACTGTTTGTTTGTTTGTTTTTAAAATAGGTATTTGAAATATTTCTGTATTTAGCTCCTCCACTTTGGAGAGCTGTTCCTTTACCTTTAACCCTACATCTACCTACACACCATGCAAGTGACAATGACAACTTATACATTTTGTCCTAAAAGTCATTAGTATCTCTGAAATGCTTCTTTTTCAAGAGCAATGAGAACAGTTATTCTTTTAGTTTCTCCATTAATGGAAAATTAGAACAAATTCCACAATATAAAAACTATTCAGAGAAAGAACCATGAATCTAAATGATCCAACAAGGGGGTGTTAATTTTAAAGAAGAGTCATTCTTTAGATTTCCTCCCTGTGCCAGACACTGACCTAAGCTTTCTACATGTGTTATCTCATTGTATTGTCATAATACCCTCATGGGGCAAGCACTACTAAAAGGCTGAGACTTGCCAAAAGTTACACAGCAGGTAATTGGTGGCCCATGGCTGAGCCAGTGGACTTCAGAAAACACATTCATAGGACCTCCACATCCTCCTTCCCTCATAACATGACAATTTACACTCCCTGCAGTATTTTTCAGTTAATAATT